GAGAACGGTCCATGCTGAGCACCCACAAGGGTCTTCTGTCAGTGTCACTCTACTGATGCTCATGGGCTTCTTGCCAGTTTAGACAAGAGCATGTGAAAGAATTAAGTTGGCTCCTCAAAACCAGTTTCCTAATTGGTAAATATTAGAGGTTTTCCAAAATCATGTTTGATACTATTTCAGTACAGCTGCAGAATTCAGTTTTTCTGTTTGAATGCAAAGGTCTCTGGTAGTATTAAGGCTTTTTGACAAACTTAAGAACAGCAGGACAAAAATTAAGCAGAAAACTGAGGTACATCCCCTCTCCAGAGTAACGAACCAGAGCCACAGGAGACGTACTTCCCAGAGCTGAGAGAGTCAAGTGCTCTGGCTTTCACATTTCCCTTGCACCTTACAAAAATAGTCCAGTTTTTAAAAGGTAGTAGATTTTGCTGCTACCTGTAAAGTCACATTATTTTTGACAGATGGAAGTTCTCCTTCCATTCAAATAGAATTTAAGAGAATACTTATTTTGAAGAGCAAAATTTCTGCCCAACTTTATTTAGGACCTGAGAGATCCACCTTTGCAAGCCAAGAAATATGAAATAAATATCCAAAACATCTGTGAAATTCTGCAGGTGAGAATTAACCCAGATAAAAGGGAGACTTTTTCTTCTTAGATCAACAATAAGGACAGAAAAGAAAGGACCTGTAAAAATATTCCCATAGCTCTTGCAATAAATACAAGTAACAATACAGTATCCAAACTTGGGACTGCACCAGCAGAATTATTTTCCCTTCTGAAGTTACCACCAATTCTGAAGCACAACAGAGGATGTAACCAGCAGAGACAAACCAGAAGACAGAATCATGCATGGATGACATACAGAGTGTTTCAAGCATAGCTCAGAAGTCCTGTTTTGGTAAGGATGTTAATGCACATTCTATACATAATCCTGGCAACATGCTGCATAATCCTTATACTTTCACTAACAGGTGATACTTGTTTATGGAAAGCAGCCATTCCCAACCCAAGCCACCCCAGCTGTCAGTCTCTACCTACCCAAGGGTCCTGTTTTCATCCAGTTGCCCCCTCCCCTGCATTTCCCCTTCCCTAAGAGTGCATGAATAGAGAATTGCAAACATTTCACACTGCACGTTCCACTCCAAGTCCTGGATGAGGGGCCTGTTTATTCTATGAATATTGCACTTATCCACTCATTGGATTTGCTTTTTCTCAAGAATGCAGAATATTTGGGAAAAAAATAGAAAAAATAGTAGGATACAACACAGGAAAATATGAGTTATTAACAAGCTAGCTATGAAGATCTAAAATTAAATAGTACTAGTTCTATTCTGTTAATACAAGTAATATGAAAATAATGAATGCTTTATCAAATTCCCTTGTTTTTCATATAAGATAAAAGCAGTAACTTTCTTTTTAACTGAGGAAAGCAATGAATATATATTACAATAAAATATGATTCATTAAGATCTGAAAGTGATGAAAACAATTATATAATGCCTTCGTCAAACTTTATAGCATCATAATGGAAGGAGTCTTTGGGGTTCACATCCACAGGGGCAAATGCATTTTTTAGCTATACCCATGCAGGTGTGAATTTCCATTTTGAAGAGTCTAGATGCAAGACAATTCCAATCTTTCCTTATTGTGTATTTGCTACTATTGAATACATCAATTTAAAAACTTCTTGTTGACACATCAGTTAAGTACCCCAACACGTGCCCATCATTTCTTTTATCTTGAAAGGTTTGGCTTGCAAAGGACTGGTACATATGACTACACTCACCCATTGCACGGGGTGACAGCTGAAACAATGAACAGGAATTGCCTCCCATGGGGAAGGACTCCTAACAAAATGCACGACTCTTGCTGTTATGAGAAAGTGTTTTGAAAGGGGAGACAAGGGAAACCAGCAAATAAACTTTTCAGGCATTATATAAACCTCAATAACGAACTCAGAAGTGCTCATTATTATTAAAGTTGCAGTATACAGCAAGACGCAATTTTCACATTCTTTAATTTTGTTCTCTGGAATTGGAGTTTGGAATTTCTGCTGGTCCAAATTCAAGACTTTTTGGGAAAATACAAAGAGTGGGTGAGAGCAAGACGGCAAGAGCAGCCGCCTCTCCCCCCAGAGGAGGGCCCCCTTCAGCTGCAAATGGCTTTGCTCAAGCCCTGCAGACTCTTCCTCTTAACAATCTGGTTCAGAAAGAAACCAGAAAGAGAAATTTGAACAGTACTATTGATTTCTGCATTGAGTGTTCACTGAGGTGTACATTACATTTAAATATTGCTCTTGATCCAGTGTCAGTTCTGACAAATTTAGTAAATAAAAGGCAACGTTAACATTTTTAGAAAAGAGCTAAAACACTTCTAGCACTACACTGTCCTCTGAGTACTCTGCCAGGTTTTCCTGCCCTGCAGTCAGCTTTTCTGATGTAGCTTAAGGCCCTTCCTTCTGTTTCACAGCTAATAGTGAAGGGCTTGCTATTTCGGGTATCAGCAGAACTGACCAAAACTAGCTGCTCACCAATGGATATCTCTCAGTTGAATGAATAAAAAAAAAAAAAAAGAGAGAGCATCCCAGTGAGAGATGCTATGACAATGGTAAGACAGGAGTGGGAAAAATTCCATTGGGAGTATTTGTTTTAAAAGTGCCCTTTTAAACACAAGCAGCCAAAACAACAAAACAACCATGTGAAGGGAAGCCCAAATGGAAGCTTCTCCAGCAGGGTGGAAGCCAGCATGCCAAGTGGTGGCCAGCAGTAATTTCTGGCACCAAGGAGGCCATGAGCACCCCATCCTTTTTGCTGGTACAGGTGAGGGCAGAGGGAGGCCGTGGGCTCTGCAGCCCATGTGCAGGGTCTGGCCTCTCCTCAGGAGGGCACGAAGCCTTTGAGATGGGATAAAGCAGCAAAGAGCCACGGAGCTGCTGTGTGAGTGAGAAAACCCTGGCAGGACTGTTCACACTGTGTCACCCTGCCCTGCCTGGAGCACTGCAAAACACCTCCCTGCCAAAGCCAGAGCTGCAGAAGCAAGCCAGCAAGATGGAACAGGAGCTGTGGGATGGACAGACATCTCTTACAGAGCTGTCTCAGGCAGATCCTGAAGCCTCCTAACCTGAGCCCCATGGAGAACTTGCATCCACCAGGGCCAGCCCTGTGCAAGGCACTGGAACTGTCTGCCAAAAACACCTGTGCCACCCCACACCTGCAAGGACTCTGCACCTCAGAGGTGCCCTGGGCTTGGCTTTGCTGGATGTAAATGTGAGGATTCCCAGTAGTCTGGGTTCTTCTTGCTGCTCCTCCCTCCTTGGACAGGGGCTCATGTCAAGCCATACTCAGAGAATTCAGTGGCTCAATGCAGAACATCTGGGAGCTGTGCTTTACATCCCCCCAAAGAGATGACCTAGTGGGAATGTCTTTAAACAAAACTTTAGAATATTTTAAATAATAAGTTAATTCTTAATAAATATGTGCTTCAAGAAAATGATAATTATATACTGCACCTTTAAATAATGCACTTAGTTCTCTGCATTGGCTTCCATTTTGGTTTCTTTTATTGTTAAAGTGCATTAATTCAAAATAATGAACCACTTCCTCATCATTATTGTTAAAATAAATCATAACATTAATAGGAATCACTAAGTCACTACTATTAGTACTGCAATCTAGCAGATAACTCTATGTATTGCTCTATTTAATACTGTCCAGCAGAAGAATATAATACTTCTATTATAATCTCACAACAGCTCCAGCAGTCTTTTATGTCTGCTACCATACTAGTACAACTAAAAATGGGGAGAAATACGAGAGACAGGGCCACAATGTCTCAGCTACACATCCAGTGAGATGAAGCTAACTGGACATAGACTTCCACATCATATGGTGAGACATTAAGGTACAAAGAGGACCCTGCACTGTGATATGAGCTGTTGTGCAGTTACACCTCCTTCTCCTGCCACCACAATGTAAGGGGATCCCAAACAAACAGCCTCCCCTCCCCACCTGCATGCAGAGAGCTGCTCGAACCACAGCACTGTTTGTAGCTTGTAGTTGTGGCACCTGGATGTTGTTTCAGCTACCAAAAGGACATCAGCCACACTAGCTGTAGGCAACTCTCTCAGTGTTACCATGGAAATTAATAAAACCCCCAAACCACACACACACACACAAAGAAAAAAAAAAAAGGAAAAGGAAAAAAAAAAAGGAAAAAGACAAGAACAACATATAAATTTCCTATTTTTTTTTTGGCAGTGAAACATCCCCAGTAACATATGGTATTGTTGTGCTGTTTTACTCAGCCCCTTGATCACAGCTATTTTGAAGCCTTTATAACCTTCAACTTCCAAGCCAAATCGATATTAAACTGGTGAAAAAAAGAACATGCAATGCTTTGTGTAAACCAGTAGTGAAATGGTCTGTCCCCCCCAGAACAGATTTACAAGGCTATTATTTAAAGGAATTAGATATTGATATTGAGTGATTAACAAGGCCCTTTAAGGAAAACCCACAAGCATGACTTCCTTAAGCACAGTAGGGATTTAGTAAATTATGTTTACAGTACAAGACTACCTCACAAATAACTCCATATTCCTAGCCTTTTCCAATGGATACCTCTTCAATTTCTCACACCACCCACACTGTGTGCCACATTTCAAAACATGAGTTAAGAAAGGCAAACAGAACAGGAATTAGAAGAGGCAGCTTCCTGGTTAGATGCACTGTAGACCAAATTGCTTTGATATTAAATTTCTGAGCCTGAGAAGCCCAGGCCCGCTTTTCAGTACAAATGTACTCTTTGGATTCAAGTGGGAACAGAAACACATATTTGACTCCTACTTCGATTTTAAGTCTTTTCTGGTAAAACCAGACACACACATACAGAGAAAATACAGTAAACCCAGAATGCACAGAAAAGACAAAAACAAAACACAAAAGCAATTCCCCAAAAATATACAAACTATGTGCAGACTGAGTTTGATGGCTTTTTTTTCCCCACTCATTGTAAACACTGATGTTGCAGAAGGTTACAAATATTTCTCACTAATATCTTGGTGGGCCCTGATAGCAGTCAGCATCCTTGGATTTGGACCAGAGGGCAAAAAAAGAATTAACACATCTGACAGCTTTGTCTTTAGTGTTTTAAGGGACTTTGTTGACTTTGATGACTTTTGAGAAACCCAACTCTGGGAAGAGAATCAACCAGTATCACCTGGCAGGAGTCAGGCACAGAACCAAACACGAAGCCTACACAGTAACAGACGTGCTTAAGCAAGGGGTTTGTAAGTTTGTTTTTACAAGCACCAGTAGGCATCACTGCCCTTGAACACCTGAAATCCCAACTCAAAGGACAAGACAGAATGAAAGGAAACAAAAAGCCCCCAACCCACACCACCTGATGGCCTTTTCCGATGAGTTAGCTGTAACAACACTGAAGACAGACACCAAAACTCTACACAATGAAAAGGCTCCAACTCTGGACCTACCAACTGTTGAGTATAGTAACAAAAAAAAAAGTGAACATCTCCAAAGGATTAGAGTCCCTCTGTGTTTCAGAAACTTTCATTTGCTTCTCACTGTAAGTTGTGGAAAAGCATTCAAAATTCTTGGGTATTTCACATATGGACAAAAATGAGGAGAAAGGGAGCCAAGATTGCAAAACAGTTTGGCACAGAACTCCCCAGGTAGATGCATGTGTATTTCTCTCACAAAAGGCACACATTTGGTTTCCTATCAATAATGGGAAGGATGGGATGTCTTACCCTGTTACACATACAAGATTATTAACAACTTCACAAAAAGGCATTTGACTATGCTGCATCTTCCTTGTAGTTGCTTACAACACGTAAACCCCACAAACCTCTCCAGAACATGGCAGATTTGTCCTCACATAGACTCCTTTGTACAAACTGGAGCACAGGGAAACGTCTTTTTGTGTAGCAATTGTTTTTTCCACATGTACACAGCAGGAACAGTATAAATTAGGGAGTTAAAGATATTGCAATATTAGTTCTTTTTCTCCAAATAATTTGAGGGCACCCAGCCTTTGAATGGCTTCACACCATTCATGATCTGGCAGTACCACCAGCCATTTGGGTTCCTTTCGAGGACCTCCATGCAGACACCTTCCTGAAACCCCGCAGTCTCCTCATCCCCTTCATAGTCTGCAATGGAAACATAGATGTCCTTGAGATTGTTGTGGATGAACTGGGATTTCTCAATGGGCTTTGGCCTGACTGTGGACACAGGGATCCCGTTCCTCTGCGTGGGGAGGTTGGAGGTGGTCTCAGAGCTCTCTGTGCCCAGCCGCTCCGGCTGCTTTCCCTTCGTGTCACCAGGCTGTGCCCAGGCGTTGCTGAAGGAGGAATTCCGACGGACGGTCCTAAGCTGATCTGTGGCTGTTAGAGACTCATTTCTGCGCAAGGAGCACGACAGGTTGTTGTCCTTGGGTGGTGGAGACACAAACACTGACTGTGGACGGACAGCAAGCTGCCTCACACCGTTCCTCATTTTAACTGGCCCTGATGCTTTTGAGAAGCCGCCAGGAGGTTTGCTTGGGATGGGTGGTGTTGCACGTTTGCTCTGGTTGATGGTGTTCAAAGCCTGAACCCTCTTCTCTATCTTCTCTAAACTGTTTGACTTGTTTTCATTTTTCCTGTTCTTAGCAAAAGAGGAATCAGTCTCTGCTGATGTACTTTCTCGCTGGTTATCAGGGAGAGCCAAATAATGGGAAGGAGCCCAGCCTTCCATGTCTCCATACTTCAGGTACCACCATCCACTGGCTTGCTTTTCCAGCACTTCCACTTCTACTCCTGCCGGGAAGCAAATTTCAGAATCCTGTACCTTTTGATATGCGTCAGTGGTCACATAGAAACACCTGGAGTCATTTTCTTGCTCAGTTTTGGCTGTATGGCTGGAGCAGAAGATGCCCCGGGAAGGAGCTGTGATGAGATCAGCCGAGCTTCTCCGAACAGGGTCATCCTGGCTCTCAGAAGCTGTGCAGGGGGGGCTCGCAGACTCCTCACTTCTTGAACCTTTGAGTCCACCTCTGAGCTGCCCAGTTGGCCTCAGCTGACGCCTTAAAGTGCTAATATCCATCTTTTCTTGGCTCTGAGAGTCTGCCTTGCTCAGGAAGGGTTTGGGCCTAACAATTGGCTTTGCTCTGATGGAAGGACTCTGCCCGGGATCTTTCTTTATGCCTGTTCTTGGCACGCTGTGTAAGCCAACATCTGAAGCTGATCTCGGTTTTGTCTCCTCACTCCTGGAATAGTGACATTTTCCAAGATCAGGCTGAATGTTTTTGTCTGTCTTGAGCTTCACGAGTGATGATTTAGGAGAGCTGGAACATGGAGAATTTCTTCGGATCAAGGACAGAGAGGAGCTTTTCTGAGAATCAGAATCCCCACTGGATTCCTTATTGGACAAAGCATCTTCCACATAACGCCTGAACCCCTCGTTCTCATAGATGGTTTCTTCTTCATGAGCAACTTCTTCTGAAGACTCTCCTACTTTGAACTTGGCTTTCTGAAGTGATGACACAGGTGAGGGCTTGAGGGGCTGAAACACTCGTTTTTCAGGAGTGCTGTCTTCATGGTGACTTTCACTCACTTCACACTCCGAGTCAAAGCCAAAGGCAGGCACATCATACTCAGGTTCTTCGTATTTCAGCTTGTGGGGAGAGTCCTGGGTATCTCCTGAAGAAACTGCTCCAGGAATTGTTCCTTCTTCAGAGTCTTTTGGCTTACTGGGAGGTGCTGGAGGAGGAACCTTTGGGCGGGTTAAAGTACTGGTTCTTCTGTTCAAATTCGGTTTCTTTCTCTTGTCAATGTAAGATGCTGGAGCCCATCCTTCCTTCTCTCCAATCTGCACATACCACCAGCCACCAGAATTCTTTTCAATAACCTGAGAAACAACAAGGAACATGTAACTTAGACAAAAATCTCAACTTACTGCTTCCCACTCCTCCCCTTCCAAACCATTCCCATGCAACAGATCAATATTACAATTTTTCCAGATCCACTGTTAAGGCTCACCTCAGCTTTTTGTCCTCCACGAAAGCTTATGCCATCAGAGATGCATGACTGGAATTCAGCAATGGTGTAATATTCCACTTCCACGGAGGGTGGCTCTGGTGGCTTGGGTAACTGAAAACCCTATGGCAAATAGGATGCTTTGTTCATTTAAACCAAAGAAACAGTCAGCTAAACAGCAGTATGAAAAAAAATTTGCTTTTATTCACTAAGACTCTTCCTTCTTCCTGTGCTACTTCCTAATGATAACTGCCCAGTCCTCCAGAGTGGGAGCTGCTGTACTGATACGGCCTTTCAACATATGCCCTGTTCATGTCACCTTCACCAGCTATTAAAACAGTAATAATCTTTACCTGAATAGTAAAATGTTTTACTTGTGGGTGATAGAGTGTGAGCTGCCACTGCAGTCACACAAAGAGCAGCCCATTTACGCTGAGATTTTGTCCTGAAAGACCCAGCTCTGGATGGCATGCCACAACCGCAGAAAACAGCATTGCAACAGACCCCTAACAGATTCTGCCTATCATTAAATACACAATCTTAAAATGTAAGCCCAATGAATTATTGCTCTTAATCTGTTGCTGGACTTTTTAAACAATCTGAATTAGTGATATGAGCTGACGGGCATCTCTTGTAGCAAGAAACAAGGATAATATCATAGACCTCCTAGCTTTGCCCAGCAAAAGTGCTAGAAGGGAAGGACTTTACTGCTTGATCAAAACAATTCCAGTTCCTCCCCATAACAGAGCCAAAACCTCTACTCAATCTCAACACAACCTTTGTAAAGGCTCTATGAGAAGTGGGACCCTGCTATTTATAGCCAGTCTGGCAGCACATCAGACTCCTCTAAAAGCTAAGTGCCTTTACATTAAGCTGCCACATTTTAGAATTTGCTACAATTAGTTTTTAAGGTGATAAATGGGAAAATGGTCCTTTCAGGAATTTCAACATTGAAAGCTTTTGAGATTAGCACAGTGCTCATCTGCAGGACAGCTAGATGATGATGAAGCTGCACAGTTTCTATACTTCACTACTTAGGGTTCTATGAAAGAACCACAGGTCAAACACAGAACAGACAAAGACACAAAATGATCCTGAGCCATCAATGGGAGAAGGGCAAATCACATGCTGTGCTTTATTCTCCTGCTCCTCCATTTCTAAGATACCCTTTTGTAACTAACAGTTGATGTTTCATCACGCACAGCATGTGGCATTTCACAGAGAATGCATCTCTGCACCTTAGGAACTGTGTCTAACAATGTTGTAATTGGATGTTTCTGCAACATAAATGCTGAAATACAGCAGAAGCACAGCATAATAAAATGCCTTCAGATAATACGATGGTTTGGATTAAATGAAGGTAATTGGAAACAGCAGATATGCTCAGGCTTTCACATATAATATCACTGTTATTTTTAGCATGGGATTAAGTGTCATAGTCTTGCCAAAACAAAGTCTAATTGAAAATAATGCAAAGAAAAATAGGAAGAAAATGCTAATATGTTATTCATGTAGTTTGTTAAGAAGCATCTCTGGTGACAGAAAAATTACAAGTCGCATATTGCTCATAAAGGGTACAGCAAAGATTAAACACTATGTATTGCCTAGATAAACAAGCCATTAGCATGACTTTTATATAAATACACTACTGGCTAGCTCCTATTGAAGATGACAATTCTAATCTCAAATTGATACAAACTTCCAGGATTCTAGCTCTGGGGATGAGAAATCACAGGGGGTCTAGTTCCTGTAGCATTCATACTTCCATAGCATTCCGAGCCACTTTAAACATGCACAAGAGTGAAGCTTAGCCACCTCAAAGATGGTAGCAATGGAAGGAGGGGACACATTCCCAGCTGCTTAAGACAAGAGAAGGTCAGAAATTTCAGTCTGGGCTAAGGAAACCCAGAGGAAATTTTAACCTACTGAGTCAGCCAAAAAAGTTTTAATGCTCCTGCACAGAACACAGCAGCTTTATCACATTCTCCTTTCAGACCTGATTAGTTGAGTCAACATTTTGAGTAACAGAAAACCTGATTTATCATTAGGATGCCCTGAGGTCTGCTCAACACTTAAACAATGAAATGAACAGGCATGCAAATAAAGGATCCCTCCCACCTTGTACAGCTGCACAAAGTCTCACAAAGCACCCAGACACCTACCCACTGCTAAGATAAACCATAAACCAATACACACCAGACTGGACTCTCTTCGTGGGGGTGGCCTTGTTCTTAGATTTGGAGAACCTGAGCAGGAAAGGGAACAGGGAGAGTTTATTTAACTTTGAAAGTACTGCTAAACACATTTTTCAGCAGCTCTCTGCCGTCAAACAGTTTGAGAACAGAAGTCAGTATTTGCAATATTTAAGGCATCTCTATGAAACAAGATAGGAAACTATGAGGGTATATTAGAAATATCAAGGTACCTTAGCTATTCATCTCTGCTAAGCAAGCAAATTTTAGAGGAAATCACTGGATTGTATTTTCTGCTGGAACTGACCAGCTCCACTGGAGACTGGCCAAAAAGGGACTGGCCTAATACCTATTTTCCCCCCCGCAGTAAAAATAATTCACTAAACATCCACACTGTCCTCTCTCCTAGTATTTTGCCATTCCTTGCACAGAATAGCATCAGCATTTGCGTTTTGCAGATGAAGTAGTAAAAACACTATAGCAACTTGCTCCCAGGAAAGCAGCAGAACAAATGCAAGAGAAGACACATGTGGTCTCCTCAACTTGAACATGCTGTCACATCATCTACATTTCTGGGGTAGAAGGGCATATTTTAGATCATTCAAAAGGGAAAAAGTATTCTCTGGAAAAGTTAACAAAGTAAACGCATGCAGGCTAAGATAAAGAACCACCAGTCAGCCTGTATATGAAGTGAAGTTAAATTTTATCACTACTAGTGAAGGACCACCTTCTGGAGTCCCTCTTGATACATCTACAGGCCATGCAGAGGTCTGTTTGTGTGGGACAGGCAACACCAGCCCCGAAAAGCAGAGAACAAGAATTCATTGCAAATCCATGAAAACCCAGACTACTTTACTGCCTTACTTATTTGAGCTCTTTGTGGTGCTATCCTTGCTATGGCTGGGGATCCCTGGGCCAGTTTGGAAGCCTGCTTGTCAGGAGTCATCATGGCATTGCCATTAGAGTCATTGCACAGGATGGGCAAACTGATTTCCTTCTTGGTGATATGGGTTTCTGCAGACTCGTTTTCTACTTGAGATTCCTTATCAGTAGATGATTTCTTGTTCAGCAGGTTACTGATCTCCATGATGTTTCCTATGATTTCCACTGGCCCAGTTAAGTTCTTTTTCCTAGATGGAAGATCATCTTTAGCCTTCTTCAGGTACGAAGCTGGGGCCCAGCCTTCTTTGCCCAGATACCTGGAGAGGCAAAAGGAAACACCATCACATCAAACACAGCCTTCTCATGCAGTACAGGTAGAACAGATAAAGCAAAAGTGATGGATGAAAACATGAAACAAAGTTTGCAGTTCTCAAACAAGATTTCGTAGTCTCTATTAATTTATTATCTATTGATTACACATATCAAAGTCAGTTGAGCCAGCAGTGAACTGTGTAGCTGAAAGTCACTAATCATCCTAAGGAAGGAATCTCTCTGGACAAGAAATAGTTACACACCAGGTAAAGAGCTTCAGCAATTTGTTTTATGCCTCCCCTAGACAGTACTAGGCAAACTCAGTATTTTCCCATACAGCAAAAAAGCAAACTAGCAAGTAAAATATTTTAATAGTTTTTAAAATTCCTAGTGGCAACTCAAATTGAAAATGGGCTAAAAGAAGGGTGTACAGCACCTAGTACAGAGAGCCATGCCTGCAGTTTAAGGTCCTTGTGCCAGCCTCCCTCCCTGAAACGAAAAAAACGCTGGCCCTCCTTCCATAATTCCCAGCTCTGCATGAGCAGTTTTCTGTCATGGAGCACATGGGACCCTTAAACTACTGCAGCTTCTTCTAGCACCACAAGATCAAGAAATAATTTGCCTGAGAAAAAACGGCTTTGATGGAGACTCGTTTTCCTGAACGAGCTTGAGGCAATTGGAAGAAATAAACTGGGAAATGTGAACAGACACCTGAATCCAGTATGTGTTCCTGAAACACCACCCTGAGTTGATCACACTACACTTCAAACCGAGGTAATTCTTCTACAGCTGGGCTTTAGGGAAGATTTTTTTCCTAACACCTCAGCATGGATTTCAGATTACAATCAGACTCCAGGGAGAACCATGTGGAGGAACTCTGCTTTCCCTAATGAAATTCTAACTTGCTACAGTGAGTCACTGAAAACCTTCTCTCTAATCTCTCAAGATACCAAAGCAGGCACTTGAACTGTAAGTGAGAAAGCAGGCATCATTAAAATCCTGGTGCTCAGGAAATCTGCAGGAAATACAAAGGTTAAAACAGTAGGACTCTAGGGTTCTTTATTGAAAAGGGAGCCTCGTTAGACAGCAGAGGAAGGAGCTGGGGCACATAGGATATGAGCAAATCATTTTCTGGCAGGTGAACACCTTTGTCATGACAACACTTGGATCCTGAGATTTCCAGTGAGATCTCTGCATCAAATCTCATCCTGATCTCCCTCACCACATCCACACACTTGAGAGTGGCTCTGGGACTTTACAGGGAGAACAGGAAAATGCAGTGTAGGTTTGATTCTCTAGGCTTCTTTATTACTCTTCCTGTATAAAAGCAAATACAATTGTACTTCTACCAATGGCTATAAGGATTTTTCTGTCCAAAATCCTGCCTTTTCCTCCTCACCCACCTAGACCAGGCAAGATACCAGAGATTCTGCTTTTCCCTACATGCTTGCCTTCTGTCACACATGAAGATAAAGATAAAGGATCTCTCCTGCTCAGGGAGTTTAGTGACAAGTTTTTCCAATGATTCTGATGTCAAAGGAAAGCATCTCAAGAGCTCTGAGCTCTTTGTGTGATGCATGGAGACTAAAAAGAAGTAGCAAGCAACCTGGTACTCACTTGATTTGACTTCAAAAAGATACACAGCATCCACTGTGTGATAGTATGTCAAGAAGCAATTTGGATCTATTCAATCCTGCCTCTTTTGAGGCTTTTCTGCTAGGCCTCAAACCAAGCCAAAAAAGGAAAAAAAGTCTCAATACATGCCACAATTCCTGTTGTGTCAAGGCATCACCCAGTGCCATTTTCCAGCCCTGAAGACTTTTGGTTTAATTCCCTTTTGCAGCTGACAGCCCTTTTGCAGAGCTGCTGAGCAATGCTCTCTGCTGTCTTTGCACCAAGTAAGTTTTTTAAAGGACATTTGTGAGTTTATACCATGTGGAGGTGCAGAGGTCTCCATCTGTGAGAAAGCCACAGTGGTCAATGCACTGAGCACTCCAGTTCCAAAGGTTACTTTCAACAGAGCTTGATTGTGCAAAATCAGCAAGAAAAAACAGTTTACATCCATCTTAGTTTGTGGGAAACTTAACATGTTTAAGATCAGAAAAAGGCAGCCACAGGCAGGTTCTGTACTGGTCTGTTAGTTCTCCTGCCAACTGTATGTATTTGGATCAGGCTGTGTAACCCCACTGCTACAAACACCTCTGATCTTACATAGTTTCTCCCAATGAATAATATCAGCAACAGATGGACAGTTAATAACTCAGGGCAACATCAGACCCTCAGTAGAGAGGCTGTTGTAGGCTACTTCTTCCTGTGTTAGTCAATTCAACCTGAAGGTTATGCCGAGCAGTAATTACCAGAAACTACCAGTTTATTTCTGCAATATCACAAATAAAAACTACTTCTGTAAGTGAAATATGCTTACATTTTTTACCTTAGTCCTTGAATTTGTTAATCTTTAAGCCCTTTGAAGACTAACCTTAGAAGATTCCTTGATCTTCCCCATTTTATAGGTGAAAGAACTAAACTGTTAATCAATTTCAGCGAAGTCCTGAACCAGTAACAATTTTCATTTCACATCTTAAGAGTTGAATGACAAGTATCCTTCCTTCCTTTATATTCAGAACCTACTGGAGACATTTCAAACCCCACCTCAGATTCCTCCTCATTTCAGTGCTGCCAGCACCTCCCAGCTGTGCCTCATTCTCATGGGCTGAGGCTCAGAACAACCAGAACATGAAGGAGATGAAGGCAAGTAACAAAAGCTTTCCTTAGCATATTGGTGCCAGCTGCAGCCAGTCCACCTGGGCACCACAGGATTGTATCTACTGCTGTCACCTTGAGGCAAAGTAAGATCTAAATGACAGATGCTAATGCCAGCTATGGGTATGCTGGGAAGCACAGATCTATTGAGCTCAATACAACAATAAGCAGGATCCCAGGATAGAGCCTTTCTTTCATTTCTCCCTAGTCCTGATTTTTTTTTTTTAAAGTCATAATGCATGTGGGGCAAAATAAAGACAGACACCAATATTGGCTCTAGCATGTACAGTATTGAATTGGGAGGGTCCCAGAATTAGGTGCAGTGATTTGGTTCCTTCATGCTTCCAAAACCCTCCCTGTTTATATTATATGAAGGAAAAAACGGATTAAAACCATAGGAATGTTTAAAAAGTTAGAAGTGCCTCTGTAAGTCTGAGAGTCACATCTGCTTTCCAGCTCCAGAGTACTGGAATTACTCCAGAGGGAAGCAAACTAGGAAAAAAAAAAAAAAAAGGAAAAAAATAAAAAAGAAAAGAAAAAGAAGGACAGGAAATGAGGATCAGCACATGGCCAAGAATTTGGAGAAATTACATATTTAAGGTGGAACAAGCTAATGTCTTTAAGGTGGATTCCATTTACAAACTCCTGTATTTGTTTTTCTCTACACATTGAAGGGTGTTCAGTCTGTTATCCAGCCCAGGGTTCAACTGCATTCTCCTCCTGCTCCCTCTCCCCTTCACACTCACAACAGGAGAAGGAGCTGCTCCTTCGAAGGCACTCAATACTCAGAGAAGCAAATTTCTGCAGGAAGGGAATCCTTTCTTTCCTGAGGGGTATCTAACAGTATTCAGGGCAGTTTACATTTAACAAACAGCACAACAAGCTGGGGATCAGCTACCCAGGCAGCAAAGGAGCAGCTTGCAGGGATGGATCACATCACCAACATTACTGGAAGTACTGCCCATGGAAAAAAAGTCCTTGTTTCTAGGAGTTTAATCCTCCAGCAAGAAAGTAGCACAGTGCTCCAAAGAGAGGAGCACAGCTGGCACCCCATACACTTGTCACACATATGGGAAGCACATAACATCTTCTAGCAAGAGGGGTTCCTCAAATCAAACTGCACCTTCCAAAAAAGCCAAGCACATGCTGCAATCCCCAACTATCACAGGGTGGCTGGGGCATGCACTGTCCTTCCAGCAGATTGCCATGAAAACCACTGCAGCAAGTGTCATCATGCTCCAGAAACACTCCTGGTGCATACAAAAATCTATCTTCTGTGTTGACTCAAAGGAGCGTGTGAGAAAAAAGGGGGAAAAAATTCAACTAATTGTAGGAGTGTTAATATGGCAGAGGAAAACCTACAGTAGTAACCAGGCTACACTGTAGAAAGAGAATAAAAAAAATAAACCAGAGGTGTCTTGTAATGGTTTTCCCCTCAGAAAAACCTATGTGCTCAATTCCCCTGTCTTTGGAAACTTTGGATTTCACTTCTGTGGACGATTAATGGAGAAAAAAATGTGACCTGACCAAACCCAGGCATTTTTGAGTTCCTCCTGTCTAGAGTGCCTTCCTGACTCCACTGCTATCTTTATTAGTGTATTTGCTCCATGGGATCATTAGATAGAAAACTGATTTCTTTTTCTTCTAACTAAGGGAAATCAAGAAAAACAACAACATTGCTTCAGTCAGCATTTCTACAGTCCTCATTCACAGCCAATAAATCAAGCAGCATTCAAACAAAAGCAAGCTATAACTTGGGGAAGGAAAGAGGAAAAAGTCACTATAATTACATGTTGAATGGAAAAAGATGACTATATGAGATATTCTGCACTGCTGAGATATAAACCTCCATTTTAAACTACCTGTTGTATCACATCTTGTTTGAAGAGAAATGGGATGTCATACACAGATACAAGACAAGGGGCAGAACCACAAAAGAGCACTAAAACCTAAATGCTGTGGGAACCTAGAAGAAGAAAACTCTCAAGTGCTCATCCTGACACTCTACATCACTGAGACAATATCTAACCTAAAGTCTCCCCAACACTCACAAAGGAGATTCTTAAGTCACAACTCTCTGCTAGGACTGCTGTTCCAAATACACACCAAAATATGATACACAATAAGAACTTCACCCGCCCTTGGAATACAGTCCCTCTACATTAGGAGTATCTAATGTGGACAGACAAAAATCAAAGCAAATTAGCTGAAAACATTTGTAAACTTGCAAAAGGGCTATAGCCAGCAATCTGATCTTGTATCCTGAAAGTAGCACTACCTGCCCCAAACAGCTCAAGAGATCACAATCAGCCTTTCAGCATTGCTATAAATAGATTTAAATAGGTTGCAGAATAACTCTCATACTGGAAACACATTAAAATTATATACAACAGAAAGCCTTGTTAGGTCTCACAGATCTTAACTCAGATATGGGCTTTTAACCTGAAGCATGAAAAAAACCCTCTAAAACTGCAAGTTAAGGCATTTCCTCACTGGAATGGTCCACAGCCTTTGCAGACACTGTACTGTTGCTACAGTCACCATTGTATCACCTCAGACTTTTCTTTACATTTCTTCAAAAGGCATTATGAACAATTTGGGCTTCCCTGTCCAGCTACAGAATGATTTAAATGCTAACATTCAGTGAGTGATCAGAAAAGCTCATTGTCACAGTTTCTGCGGGTTGCACGGCTTCTTTACCTGATGTACCACCATCCTTCCAGGTTCTTTTGGATGACCTCCACGGTGACCCCTTTTTCGAACCCAATCTCATCCTTCCCCTGGCTGGCATACGGCTGGATGGTGACATATTTCTCTTCTAGTGAGGGGAGAAAAGGCAACATCAGTTAGGGTCGGGATCAGCCCAGCTGTTTTTCTGCACTGCTTGCTTTTAAACTGTTATGCAGCGATTACGTGAAGCCATTACCAAAGGCGGAGCCCTGCTCAGGGGCCCACTGGTTATTTATGCTGACGACATGACAGATAATCAGCCCCTTGCCACTACCCTGCTGCTGATAATCACAAAATGTTTCCATGCCAATAATGACACAGAGTCCCCAGAGAGCTTTCCCCCCCCTTTTCTTCCCGCCTCCCTCGCCCCCTCCAAGTTCCTCGAGCGGGTAAGGGAGAGGATTTGAAGCTGGACTTAACTCCCATACTGTAACTTGACAGAATCAATCCGGCTGCCAAATCAGCCGAGCATCACCGCGGGAGCTGCAGCCAGTTGGCTCTTTGCACACACACATGGCTGCACGAAGCATTGTGTTACTGAAACCAGAGCCTGCATCCCCAGAGGGACACATCTCCCCAGCCCAGAGGGGCTGGCCCAGCACACTGCTCTCCTTGCACCTCCCAGGCAGCACAGGTCTACAGCAATGAGCTTGAAACATTAAAAAAAAAAAAAAAAATCTGACAAAAAGAACGAAAGAGGTTTGCTTATGACAGGAGATGATACAACATTTGCATCCATGGGTTGTGAAGTGTTTTTAAAACATACTTTTGCTAAACCTCACTCCAGAGAAATGCACTTGTGACACTGGTGAAGGAGGGCCTGAACTAAGACATACACTTCAAAAGCACAGACTGGAATTCAAGTATGGTGTTTGAGTCAAAAACTTAGCACCCCTATTCATCTCCAGCATTTATCCCCTTCCCAGCTGGGCAGAGGTTTTAAGCAGACTTTCTGAGAGCAAGCCAGTAAGCAGATCAGAACAGACAATTGTCAACTTCTTCCACCTACCCAGGAGTCATTTACTGCAGCATTCCCATCACACCCAAGGTCAACCTTTCCCTCTGGAGCTTGAAAAATTACACCTGCCATTGAAAACTTGAACTACCATCCTTCCTCTGCAGCAGCAGACATGGAAAGTGTCGCAAAACCCCTCTCCTCAATCCAAACCATGGTGCACATGACAGCATGAGTTCCTGTAGCTAGATTAAAGGCAGGGAAGGCAAGCAATTAAGTGCATCCCAGCCAGCCTTCCCAGCACTTTCTACCAGCAGTCACAACAAGGCAGGGAAAGAACTAATGGAGGGCTGTCAGTGCAGAGGAATGGGCAGGAAATGAAGTGAATCCAAAGCTCCTGATCACTGCAGAACAAAGGAGCTATGAAAAGGCTGCAGCAGCTTGAAGCGAGCACTCTAAGAGAGTAAAACAGATTCAAGCAGCTGTTTGGTTTTGTGGCTCAACTGCATTTTGTTGCTGGGTGAAGCATGGAAACTTTAAGGAAAAATAAACCAAAGCCCTTACTGAGAAAAAGTAAGCCCTTACCTTAGAAAAGAAATGTTGAAAAAAAATGTTGACCATCTAATGGCAGCAAATTCAGCAAAGCTACATCTCTGAAGTCAAATTCCCTTGACTGGTCATATTTGGATCCTTCTAATTCTAACAGGGCAAAATCTGTCAAAACCTTTGCTACCAAGAGGAGAAGACTCTCTGCTGCTCTCTCCTAGGAGGACTGCTTCACTGGCTCATCACTGGGAAGAAATTCCAGCTAGTTTGTAATTAGCACCATCAGCATATGACACCTTCCCCACAGAAATACTCCATTACAAGATGGGGCCTGACAAATGAAACCTGCAAATGAAATCTCAGCTTCCAAGTCACAAGACAGAACAGTTTTCCTAGCTAGGTTCCTGCTCTGGGTGGTAGAATTGGACTGATTTTTCCTCTATTTTCAAGTCTGCTGCAGAAGGAGCTCCATGTCTGGTTTCCACTGCATGCACAGCACTAAACTGAACTGCAGAAGAACCCTAGCAGCTAGATCTTGTCCCTGTAAGGGCTAAGGGAAAGTTCAGAGCTGCTCTGTCCAGATACACATTGTTTCAGACACTTCCAGGGATGTTTCTAGGACAGTAATACTGAGCTAAGCATATATTTGCTGAGTCTTGGAAGAAGGCCCTCTTTTTTTCTTTCCCCTATATGAAAGCTGCTTTATAACCCAGGCTGTCAGAGGTCACCCTTGTCACTACAACTCCCACAGAAATTTCTGTGTTTATTCTAATTTTCCTCCACACAAACACCAGGCTCTGCTTCAGCTAAAGCCAGCTATTCAGCTCCTCTTGCTGGGCAGAGTGGTCTCACTCTTCAGGGATGTGGCTTCCCTTCTTCTGCAGATAACCATGCACAGGGTGCTCATTCCTAGCTTCCAACACAACTTTCCAAACTTCTGTGTGAGGAATTGAGACAGTGGTCACCCATCAAAACCAACAGCACTGGAGGCTGATCACTCAGGAGAAAGAGTAAGGTTCTTCTGAACTGCCACTGTCTCATTCTGTCCATGAGAACCTTCACTGCTTACACCTTCAGACCTGTGGCTTTCAACTCAAGACTAAAAAATCAAAGAAATGGAGTGCATGGAAATAGGGAGGGAAGAGAGAGAAAAAGGATCTGCCGTGAAGCAAGACAATCAAAAGTGTTAAAAATCAGCTCTAGAAAAGAAGGTCCCATCATGTTTTTGTTTAGCAGCTCTATTTTTAAGCCTGCAGATAAAAGGCCAGGAAGCCACCATTACAATTTCCCCTTGCAAAGTACTTTGACAGCAAAAACTACATTTCCAAGATTACACACATTTGGTTTCTGTCAATGCTGCAGGAGATACCACAAACATACATGAGGTTTGTAACTTAAACAGTATTCTGGAGATATGGGCCCCCTTGTAATCAAAGTGTAAATTCTGTTTTATTTCTCAAAGATTATCTCTAGCCAGTGGACACTTTGTATAAACCAAGATTTACAGAAGGGAGCAGGGGAGCTCTCAGTGGATGTGCCACTGAAGAGGGCTGATAATAGCATTCAACATATCAGATTATTATTCAGAAGTCTTTAAGAGAAGATATTTGACACTTCATGACTGATATGTAAAGTTACTGTAGACTTAACATAGATAAATGGTTTCATGAGAGAATCAGCAGAGCATCAACAGCAGAATGACACTGCTCTGAGTTACACTGACAAATCTGATATATCATGCTGGTTTCATTCAGCTTCTGTGACAGGCAATAGTATAAAACAGAAGTCAGTGAACCATCCCAGACCTGCTGTTGAAGTTACATGCTCATATCTACAGAGAATACAAAAGCGTATAATTTTGGTTCATTAAGTTTTGACTTAAGAATTACCAGGAAAAAAAAAAAGACAAACAAAAGAATAATTTTTATTCCCCAGCTGCAGCTTCTGTTACACAACCTCACTGTTGAGGTCAAGTGGGCAGAATAAACTTTACTACATGCTACAAAGCACATACACCAGCTAAAAGGCTGCATTTAGAAACTATGGGATGGAAGTCCTACCCCCTTCGAGATGAAAATGGCAAGAAGGCAGCTCTGTTCTTAGTGAGTGACATCCAGAGATCTATTAATTGCTCAATTAGCCAAGTTCACTCACATTTCTTTACCACTAATTTTCAGGCCAAAGACACCTTTCCCAGCTAAGCTGAAGGAGGTTCCTCTCTGGATTCTGAGCTGCCCTAGTAAATCCAAACAAGGCATGCATGAAGAAGCAAAGCCCATTTGGCAAAGAGCTACAATACACATCTGTCACATCATGCATTATCCAACTGCAACCTACTTAGCCTGGGAGAAAAGGATTAGTATAGGTCCTTCTCTCTCCTCCCGAGACACAAACACTATTTAAAATATGCAGAAGCAGATTTTTTGCACTATTTCAACCACCCAGCTCATACCTTGATGCTGTAGCTGTGCTCTGCCCAGCTCTCCCAGTCACTGTGGCAACCCAGTGCTCAGTCCCCTAATTATTCCAAAGCCTCAATTCCTTATCAGTGTATCTTTCTCCTCTTTCCTTTCCTCCTTCCCAAAAGAAGGCAGGCTTCTATTTTGCTCTGGTTCTACCTAAAATCTCCTGAGCAAATACAGTACAGAACTGCGACCAAAATATAGGGACAAATCTTGGTGGATCAAAACAGAATGGAAAGCAGAGAACAGTATCTATGTTCTTGGAACAGCCCACAATACTACAGAGGGCTTTTTCTCGCAACAAAGATTTTCCCCCAGAAAATGTAGCACAGGTATGGCTGTCCAGCTGAGAACTGTGCACATATACAGGACAAAGGATCTGAGCTGTACAGTGCCCTGCATTACAGCCACATACACTACAGGGTCTATACAGATGTACACAATGGACCTGGTACAAGGAAGTCACTGGTATTTGAGTGTTAGGGATTACTTTTTCACAGGTCATTAACCTCTGATGTCCTTCTGTGACCACTAGAAGAGGACAAAAGAAGTAAAAGGGAAAGAAAACAAAAAAACCCACCAAAACAAAAACACAACCATTTTGTGTTCCTCCAGGAAGACCACAGTGTTTTGCCAAGCTGAGGCCTTTTCTATACATAAATTGCAATAGGTCTAAAACTAAAAAGCCACTTTAAAGCCAGTTTTTGAATGCAGAGCAGAGTCAAGGCAACCCATACAAAACTTGATCTAAAACCTGGCTAGGACAGTTTAAGCACACCCGTGTTTCTTGTCCCACCCATTTTAAGATGCTGCTTAATGAAGTGCAACTTTTCACATAAAAAGAATTTATAATACAGCTATTAAACCATGATTTGATTTACAGCAGAGCAAGATGACCTGTAGCCATTTTGGCAATGCTCATCAAGTAGTAACAGGTCACCTCTGCAGTCACAGTGCAATAAGCACTGAAATATTTCTTCTGTCTTGCCCAGCCTGTTCACTGGCTGTGATACAACATACTAGCTGCAGAAAATGAGAGATGATACATCTGACTTCTTAAATATTAGGAGGACTTAATGTCAATGACAATTATTTTTGGATAATCACAGACCTTGACAACTGCGC